AATGAAATAAACAGATATTTCAAGCAGCTTGACAAACTTTGCTTTGCTACTGTTTTCTTGTCTTTTTTTTCTTTCTGTGCAATTTGTCAAATTAATAAAAACATTTCAGCACATAAAATTTAATGTCTTTTTGTTTTTGATAAACAATGCTATAGAGATAAAATATAGAAATTTTGTTGGATCGAAATAGAATATTGTGTATTCGTGTATGAAAGGATGTGTATATTCTGTAGTAGAATCGAAATCGACATCCGATTAGAAAACAGATGAAAGTTTGTTATCAATGATAATGAGAGGAAATAAAACTTGATAAACGAACTAATAAATCAATTAACAATAATTTTATATTGATGTTGTTAAATATTTATTTTGATGGCAACCCAGTATCTCCGACTTTACCTTTCTATGGTACTCACACTCATATATCATCAATATCATTTTCATAATATGATTAATCAGTTTCGTGTATCGAATACTACGGGATAATAGAAGAAACGTTCTATACAACTACTATCTTTAACTATTTTTAACGGATCAAAAGAAATCTTTTTTTCTATGCTGACATTTGTGTTTATTACAGAATAGAAATCGCTCTTAGAAAATGAACTAAATGTGTTCATTAAAGCAATGTTCTTTACGCAAGGGGGAAAAAGCGAGACTCTCGTACTCCGGAGTACAGTTGGAGTACCGTGGAGTCTATCTGGAGTACGAGGAGTACGTACTCACTAGACTTCAGCTAGATTTCACTGTACTCCACCCGTACTCCAGCTGTACTTCAACTTTGGGGAGATATGAAGCATTGTGTATTGCAAATATGTTACAATACTATGCCGATGACAGTGTACAACTTGCACATATATTAAAACAATCAGCTAATCTAAAAAAAACTCAACAAGATTATGATGAAAGTTTAGTTAACTATGAAAATGCTTTAAATATTTTTCTTGAACAATCATTTGAATATGAATTCTATCTGACTATTTGTAATATGATTAACGAAATGTTAGAAATTTATATTGAACATAAAAATTGTGATTATTCATCAATGGTTAAATATGAATTAATTAAACATAAATTTATTGACAAGCACTATATATACGTCGAATTGTTTTATGAAAATATGAGAACTGTTAGTCAATATGATCTAGCACAAAGTTATATTGAACTAGCTGATAAATATTTAGCTATATGACAAAATGCAAGAGCTCATAAACATTTGAAAGTAGTACTAGCAATCTATCGTGAAATTAGTGATACGAATATTCAAGAACTTGAAGATATAAAACATAGTCAATTACAAGAAAAACTAGCTGATTTAGTGATTGAATCACGTAATTATAATAAAGCTTATGAATTTATAACAATGTTCATCAAGTATTTACAAGACCAGAGTTTAGTAATGCGGAGTGAACTGCAAACTAGTGTCAAAAACAGTGCTCAGTACATGAAATATCAACGAGAATTGGAAAGATCAGAAAATCGAAGACAATTATTGACAACAAAAAAAAACATATTAAGAAACTGATTGCAGATTCACATGTAGAAAAAGAACCACTTTTAAAGCTTTGTTTATTGTAAAATTAATATTGTTTTTAGCATTTGATATTTTTCATAAGAGTAAAATATTATAAATTTCGTTTAAATAAATAATATTAGTTGAGAGACAAAACTGATACTATGAAACTTCAGATCGAACGAGCAAATACGGATGAGATTCTTTTTATCATCCTTGTTCAACATACATCAATATAAAATATTTCTAATGACGGAAAGAAAAAACTTGTTTGTGTTTTGTGTGTGATTCGTGTCTTGATTTTAAAGTCAAGAGAAAGTCTCAATTGCCATGTTCTATGAAGCAATTAGTTAACACATAATGAATGACAAAGCGATTTGAATTATCAACACAAAATAATCGATTTGTTGGCCTGGATAACAATTACGGACAGTGAAAAATTCATTTTCGAGATAATCGTCGTAAATGATATAATAGAAATCTCTTTTTTTTGTTTCTATTGTGATGTTATTTGATAAAACCAATGGGCTGTCGAAAGTGAGACAAGTAAGACATGATCATTATTAGTCATGAAATTGCCTTTTTATTTAAGCTATTTCTATCAATGAATCTAGGACACGTGCCCGCAGAACATTTGCCCGCCGGACAGATGCCAGCAGGACACTTGCCCGTAGGACACTTGCCCGCAGATGACACTTGCCCGTAGGACACTGGCCCGCGGAGGACATATGCCCGCAGTGGACACTTGCCCACCAGGCAGTTGCCTATGTGGGGACACTTGTCCACAATGCACCAGGATACTTGCTTGGTGACGATTTAGGAACTATAAACTTATTACATTATTAAAAAATTACTGCATCTTATCAATGGAGTTATGTGAACTAGTGATATCAAACTATCCTCCAACAATCGTATGACTTCTCAAGGATCTATCAATGCTTAAACCTCATGCTTGTGTTTGTGTCTGTTCGTATTCCTTTCTTCCATTTCTTTCGACAAACCATTTTCTTTCTATTCGATATCGTTTTCCTCGCTCGTTTTACATAGCTTGGTTTTAGGGTTAGGTTGTGCACATCCGAACATTTGGAATTCCGGTGAAAAAAGACCAATCGATGATCGAAGTCGAATTAATCCAAACCTGAGCCGGGATTAGACGACGAAAATATTTGGTGAAACAACACCAACAAATAATAGTTTTGAACATTTTGAATAAATAGTCGAAAACAAATTTGGAAAAATAGTAGCACTAGCCATTAACATCCTGGTCAAATCGGTCAAACTTATTTTTCTTGAACTTGATAGTTCGTTTGTTAATGACCCATATTGTTGTAGGTTTCCATTTCTACATTCTACTACTTATAAGATGTATATATAAGTGAGTTGATAAAATGAATAAGATTTTGAAAGCAATCAAAATTAGTCCCCTTTGTTTCGAAGAATAGTAGTGCGAATTTATTTTGCGGGTAAGTATCATGCAGGCAACTGTCCCACGGGCAAGTGTCCGCTGCGGGCATGTGTCCTCCGCGGGCAAGTGTCCTACGGGCAACTGTCCCGCGGGCATCTGTCCGGCGGGTAAGTGTCCTGCGGGCAAGTGTGCGTATACCTCTATCAATGAATACAAATAAGTTATGCTACATGATCGGGAACGAGTTGGTGAGTTAAAGATGAACGACAATTGTACATTCCAAGTAATTTGTTGTCATCAGTTATTAAAACTTCGTTAAATCTCGATAGTCAACTTGATTTATCATGATCGTAAGGTCATTGAAATGATTTGTTACTAGCCGGTTAAATATGTCCAAGTTCTATTGATGGCAACAGTTTTTTAGTTGGTGAATATTGAACGTGAATATCACTTGTGTTTTAATTTCAGTTGCAATTCTGAAAAATTTCGTGTATTTTGTTTATGTCAACTTAGTTTGACTATCTTTCTTTGCCGAAGAATCGAATATTGTAAGTACCGATTGAAGTTATATATGCCATTTGAGAAACGATCCATTGGTTATCTTTTATATTCGTTCAAATGATTATTTTCATCAAATATTCAAGCGATACGCTACTTAGCCAACTGTCATAAGATGCTGCTTTTCTATTCGTCGAATGTTAGTATATATTCGATCGGTCTTCTTTCTGATTTTTCATAGATTTATAATTAAATTTTTTGAATTCGATACATCGAATAAAAGCTGATTTCCACATTCGATTCAAATAGCACTCGTCTTTTTTCGATCATCAAATTATGAACATTCATCTGGCTCATTTGAGACAAAATTCTTTATATGAATCAGTAATCAATCAGATCAATCCAAATTCCATACTCAATCTTCGCCATTCATCATTTTTTACTCATGATTATTTACTAATAATTCAAAACCAAAAGCAATTTTCTAACGGCAATGTCTTGAATGTAAATATGGTTGTTGGGTAAAAGAGAAGACTTTTTCACCGCCATTCTAAAGTTTCCTGCACTTTCAAACACTTTATCAGCTGAACTCTTGAAAGCTTGTGAATGGCTATCCTACCAAATTTCCTAGGGCAACGCTCAGCATCAAACATTTGAAAAGATATCGAATAATTATATATGTACAAACGTCATCACTGAGAGTACTACTGAAATGCATGTATACGGTATCTCTCTCACTGATCATGTCAGAAACATACACACGTGAATTTGTATTGGAGTATCTGAATATCCTGGGTGGTATGGTGTGAAGTGGGAGTGTGGATGTTAACGTGTATTGTAGATGTGAAAGAAGATCGTCCTCGAGACTCATACTGATATAGCATAAAACTTAGCCTGTGGGCTAGGGTTTAGAACTTGTTTTCAATTATGTATGCATCCGTTGGATGAATCAGTCAGACATAAATAGATAGTTTTTTTTCTTGTCTTGTTTCGTCAAAATTCTTTTTTCTTTTGGATATTCCAAACTCTTACATAAAACTTCTACGCATTTCTGAGTTCAATAATTTTGTTGGCCAGTTGCAATGACCATATGGCAATGTTAGCATTCTTGTCTACATAATCTTCCAACCACACTCTAAATAAAAATCGTTTTCTTGGAAACCCAGGAAAATAGGTTTCAGAGCGTTCAGAAATCCATATAGGTTTCTAGACTGATTTCTGAAACCTGAATACGTTTCCGGGCTGATTTCGGATACCTTTAAAAGTTTCTTGGAAGGAAAAAACGGGTTTCCGACTTTCGGAAACCTTAAAAGCGTTTCATATAGTGACAAATCCGGAAACGCTAAAAGGTTTCCAGAAAAAGTGATCCGTTTCCAAAAATCCGGAAACCCTATCATTTTTCCGGAAACCTTTTAGCGTTTCCGGATTTGTCACTATATGAAACGTTTTTAAGGTTTCCGAAAGTCGGAAACTCATTTTTTCCTTCGAAGAAACTTTTAAAGGTATCTGAGATCAGTCCGGAAACGTATTCAGGTTTCCGAAATCAGTCTGGAAACCTATTTGGGTTTCTATACGCTCGGCAACCTATTTTCCTGGGTTTCCAAGAAAACGATTTTTATTTAGAGTGCACAAACTGACAGAACCATCGTTTCTATACTCGGCGACATTCAATGCATAGATATACGGTGTGTTATCCGACCACGCAAAAATCGAACCACCACTGGCTCCACGACCCATATCGCAGTTGTGTAAATAGAAATTAGCACTCTGTTTTTTCGTTAAACGGCATCCGATATGTGCTCCTGCTGTCTGAGCATTTTGAAAATTTGTCGAATAGCCAACCAATGTTCCGTCTGAAGCTAACATTGAACTGTCGTCCAGTGTCTTGAATCCTAAATAACCGTAACGATCACCAAGCGGTTTGGACAAACGTAATATGGCCCAATCACTTTCACGATAAGTATCTGGATTCGTTGTACCCCACCATACATAAGTGATTGCAGAGGAGTCAGCTGCATTTCCATTGATTCTGTTCGGATAGAAAGTATTTATGTTGTTGAGCTGCTGGGTGTTTGGATTGATCACACAATGTGCAGCGGTTAATACTAGATCTCGTCCTACCAATGTTCCAGTACATCCGGTATTTAAATATCCAATTGCACTCCATGGATAATCTGTTGAAGTGACTTGAACTCGATCATCATTACCAAACACATTCTTGCCTCTCCGATCTGGAATACATGTTGAATACCCGTTTTGACTCACAGATGAATAACCTATTAGTGGATGACACCCAACATCGATCATGGAACCATCAATACAGCGGTATCCAATAACGCAGTTTTCTTCAGCCGTTATGAATCTCAGAGAAAGCAAAGCAGCAAGAAATGGTAGAACGATAATCATTCTTAGTATTGTTTTTTACTTTCGTTGCGCGAAGGTTATATTTAAAGAGCTATGCCTAAGCATATGTGAATATTCCCAACGATATTCAAGTAAAAAAGTACTATTTTCGATGTACTTCGTGCGTGCCGTGCTTTGCAAATATATTTGGCTTTTAACTTCTTCCCTTTAATAATTACACCATTTTGTGTTTGCCTCGCTATTCCAAGATAGCAAAATTATTAAAAAAATAAATCAGAAATCAAACACTTTCGTAGGTTATTATATCATTCTTTATAGTGCTTAATATTTCTACTCTCTGATAATACTAAGACCACTGCTTCTCACAATATACCAAAAGTAGCTTATATTTAAATTTTTGATATCTGAGAAAAGCGATAGATCTTTTCTTCTTCCTTCGTTGCTCACATGTTACTGCATTTCTTGAACAACTGATTAATTTTGCTTATTTCTATAAATCAGATTTCATTTAATTTAAGATGGACATCAAAGATTTTTGTTTCATTTTCTTCAAAAAAAACATCACAATACCGTTGAACTTAAAATAGAAACTACACTGTTACTCGAAGTTGATTTGAGCAGAGAAAGCTGCTGACTGGACGACTACCAATTATAATAGTACGCAGGTGAAGTTAGAAAAACTTACGAGTAAAAGCATCAGGGATTCCCTCAGGAACATGTTCCAGCCGTGTTTCCAAGCACAATACGACGACCTCTATCCAATAGCATCAGAAGATTTTCCATCGCTCAACCTATCCGACCCGAAATCCCAAAAACTGGTTTTTCTCCATACTAATTCTAGATTACAAATACTATAAATACAAGAGATTCGCACGGGAACACGTTCCAACCGACTTCCAAGCACAACTCCATGAGCTCTATCCAATGGTATAACAATATTTTCCATAGCCCAAACTATCCGACCCGAAATCCAAAAGAACTCGTTTTCCCCCGATGGAATTCTAGATTACACATAGTAAAAGCAACAGGGATCCGTTCAGGAACATGTTCCACATGTTCCAGCCGTGTTCCAAGTACAACTCGATGAGCTCTATACACTGCTATAAGAAGAGTTCCCATACCTCAACCTATCCCACCCGAAATCCCAAAAAACTGCTTCTCGCCTACAGCAATTCTAGATTACACATAGTAAAAGTACCAAGGATTGGCTCAGGCACCTCTCCCAGATGTTCCAGCCGTGTTCCAAGCACAACCCGAAGCCGTCTATCCAATTCTATAAGAAGATTTCCGATGGCTCAGATTGTCCGATACGAAAACCAACAAAACTGGTTTGCCCTTGATGGAATTCTACATTACGCCTAGTAAAAGTAGCAGGAATTCCCTCAAAAACATGTTCCACCGGTGTTCCAACTACAACTCGATGTGCACTATCCAATGGTATAAGAAGATTTTACATAGCTCAACCGATCCGACCAGAAATCCCAAAAAACTCGTTTTTCCCAATAGGAATTCTAGATTACACATACTAAAAGTAGCAGGAATTCGCTCAAGAACATGCTCCAGATGTTCCAGCCGAGTTCCAAGCACAACGCGATAAGGTCTACCATATGGTATAAGAACATTTTCCATAGCTCCAGATATCCGACCCGAAATCCTAAGAAACTGGTTTTTCCGTGTAAGAATTCTCGATTGCACATAGAAAAAGTAGCAGGCATTGGCTTAGGAATATGTTCCCGATATTCTACCCGGGTTCCCATCACAACGCGATGAGCTCTGTCGAATGGTATAAGAAGATTTTCCAAAGCTTCAACTATCCGACCAGAAATCACAAAAAACTCGTTCTTCCCAATAGGAATTCTAGAACTGACCTAGTAAAAGTAGCAGGGATTCGCACAGCAACATGTTCCACATGTTCCAGCTCTGTTCCAAGCACAACCCGAGGAGGTCTATCAAATCGTACAGAAAGATATTTCATAGCTCAAACTATCCCACCCGGAATCCCAAAAAACTGGTTATCCCCTGATGGAATTCTAGATTACCAACAATAAAAGTAGCAGGCATTTGCTCAAAAACATGTTCCAGCCGTGTTCCAACCATAACTCGATGAGCAGTATCCAATGGTATAAGAGGATTTTCCATAGCTCAAATTATAGGACGGGAAATGGCAAAAACTGGGTTTTGTGATAGGAATTCGAAATTACACATAGGAAAAGAAGCAGTGATTCGGTCCAGAACATGTTCCAGCTGTTCTAGCCGTGTTCGGAGCGCAACGCGATGAGTTCTATCCAATGGTATAAGAAGATTTTCTATAGGTCAAGGTATCCGACCCGAAATCCCAAAAGAAGGTTTCTCTCTATAGGAATTCTCTACTGTACATAGTAATAGTAGCAGGGATTCGCTTAGGAATAAGTTCCACATGTTCCAGGGATGTTCCAAGGAGAACTCGATGAGGTCTATCCAATGGTGTAGGAAGACTTACTGTAGCTCCAACACTTTGACCCGAAATTCCAAAAAAAAACTGATTTTCTCTTATTGGAATTCTAGATTTCATATAGTAAAACTACCAGGGATTCGACCAGGAACATGATATAGATGTTTCACCCGTGTTCCACGTGCAACTCGATGCCCTCGATCGAATGGTATCATAAGAGTTTCCATCGCTGAAACTATCCGAGCCGAAATGGAAAAAAACTGGTTTTCCCCTATAGGAATTCTGGATTACACATAGTAAAAGTAGCAGGGATTGGGTCAGGAATATGTTCCGGATGTTCGAGTCGGGTTCCAAGCACAACGCGATGAGCTCTATCCAATGGTATAAGAAAATTTTCCATAGCTCAAACTATCCGGCCCAAATCTAAAAAAAACTGGTTTTCCCCGATACGAATTCTAAAATACATATAGTAAAAGTAGGAGGGATTCGCTCAGGAACATCTTCCAGATGTTCCAGCCGTGTTTCTGGGGCAACTCGATGAGCTCTATCCAATGTATCATAAGATTTTCCATAGCTCAAAGTATCCGACGGCAAATCCGAAAACACTGGTTTTTCCCTATAGGAATTCTCGAACTAACCTAGTAAAACTAGCAGGGATTCGCTCAGAAATATGTTCCAGATGTTTCAGCCGTGTCACAAGCACAACGCGATGAGGTCTATCATATGTTATAAGAACATTTCCCATCGCTGAAACTATCGGACCCGAAATCCGAAAAAACTGGTTTTTCAATATAGGAATTCTCGATTGCACATAGTAAAAGTAGTAGGCATTGGCTGAGGAATATGTTCCGGATATTCTAGCCGTGTTCCCATCAGAACGCGATGAGCTCTATCAAATGGTATAAGACGATTTTCCATAGTTCAAACTATCGGACCCGAAATCCCAAATACCTGGTTTTTCCCGATAAGCATTCTAGATTACACATACTAGAAGTACCAGGGATTCGCTCAGGAACATGTTTCAGATGTTCGAGTCGAGTTCCAAGCACAACGCGATGAGCTCTCTCATATGGTATAACAACATTTTCCATAGCCCAGACTATCCGATCCGAAATCACAAAAAACTGGTTCTTCCCAATAGGAATTCTCGAATTGACCGAGTAAAAGTAGCAGGGATTCGCACAGCAACATGATCCAGATGTTCCACCCGTGTTCCTAACATAACTCGATGAGCTCACTCCAATGGTATAAGAAGATTTTCCATAGCTCCAACTATTCGACCCGAAATCACAAAAAACTGCTTCTTCCCAATAGGAATTCCAGAAGTGACGAAGTAAAAGTAGGAGGAATTCGCACAGCAACATGGTCCACATGTTGCAGCCGCCTTCCAAGCACAACCCGCGGAGGTCTATCGAATTGTACAAGAACATTTTCCATAGCTCAAACTATCCGACCCGAAATCACAAAAAACTGGTTCTTCGGAATAGGAATTCTAGAATTGACTTAGTAAAAGTAGCAGGGATTCCGATAGGAACATAATCCAGATGTTCTACCCGTGCTTCAAGCATAACTCTATGAGCTCTCTCCAATGGTGTAAGTAGATTTTCCACAGCTCAAACTATCCCACCCGAAATCCGAAAAAACCGGTTTTCCCCGATAGCCATTCGTGATTACACATTGTCAAAGTAGCAGGCATTCGCTGAGAAAAATTTTCCAGATGTTCCAGCCGTGTTCCAAGTACCACTGGTTGAGCTGTATCCAATGGGATCATTAGTGCTTCCATAGCTCAAACTATGGAAGCCAAAATCCCAAAAAAACTGGTTTCTCCCCACAGTAATTCTAGGTTACACATACTGAGACTAGCAGGGATTCGCTCAGAAAGATGTTCCAGCTGTGCTCCAAGTACAACTCGATGAGCACTATCGAATGGTATAAGAGGATTTTCTATATCTCAAACTATCCAATTCGAAATCGGAAGAAACTGTTTTTTCCATAAACGAATTCTCGATTGCACATAGTAAAACTAGCAGGGATGTGGTCAGAAATGTGTTTCAGATGTCGCAGCCATGTTCCAAGCACAACGCGATGAGCTCTATCCAATGGTGTGTGAAGATTTTCCATAGCTCAACATATCCGACCCGAAATCCCCAAACACTGGTTTTTCCCTGTAGGAATTCTACATTACACATAGTAAACGTAGCAGGGATTCGGTCTGGAATATGTTTCAGATGTTCTACCCGTGTTCCAAGCGCAACGCGATGAGCTCTACCCAACGGCATGATAATAGTTTCCACCGCTCAAATTATCGCAGCGGAAATTCAGAAAAACTGCTTTTCCCCTGTGGGAATTCTGGATTGTGCATAGTAAAAGTAGCAGGCATTCGCTCAGGAACATGATCGATATGCTCCACCGTGTTCCAAACAGAACTCGATGAGCTCTACCATATGGTATAAGAAGATTTTCCATAGCTCAAACTATCCGATCGGAAGTCCGAAAAAACTGGTTCTCCTCTATAGGAATTTTAGATTACACATAGTCAAAGTAGGACGGATTCGCTCAGGAACATGTTCCAGATGTTCTACCTGTGTTTCAAGCACAACGCCACGAGATG